CTCCTGGCCTACCTGGCCAAACTCTTGGAACTGGCCCTGGTGCTCGCCAACTCTGCACCCCGAAGGGCATTCATTGAGGGTGTCCCTAAACCCTAAATCCTAAACCCTAAACCCTAAACCGTGTGTTTATGGCCCCCGCGTGGTATTTCTGAAGAGTTCTCCCGTGGCTTCCTTCCGAAGTCAGGGGCTCAAGATTATAACTAGGAGCCTCAACACGGTGAACAGCAGTTAAACCCCCCTGAAAGCTCGACCTTGATTGGCAGCTGGAGTATCAACCGGTCACCAACAGAGGTCCACCCTTCGCAGACATGAGAAGCGATCACAAGCCGTCCGAAAGCCCGGAGAGCAAGCACTTTTTTTGGAATGTTCCCCCTTACAGTTTGGCGGTCCTTAGTAGGGATCAGAGTACCCCCTACTAGAATCCCGAGTGAGGACTGTGAGCATAAGGGGAGAACACCCCAATGCTTTCATGTACAAGGGTGCCCCTAAACCCTAAATCCTAAACCCTAAGAGGCACATGCAACTGCTTGGCTTTGGACTCCGATGAACCTATTTAGCCTATTCGGACCGATGGACCTTGCCTGCCTTGTGCGAGAGTGAGCGACGAAACCCTAACCCCTAAACCCTAAACCGTCAAGGCAATGAGCCAAACAGTGGGAACCATCCTCTTCGTCCTCCGTGTGGCTGCCCGGGTGGAAAGCTCTGCCGTGTACCTTCTGCTGCATGGCGAGGGCCCCTTGGCACGATCCTGCTTTCCTTGTGGTTTAGGGTTTAGGGTTTAGAGTTTAGGGTTTAGGGTTTAGGGTTGCCCAGAGTGGTGCCCCCCTCAAACCCTAAACCCTAAACCCTAAACCCTAAACCCTAAACCCTAAACCCTAAACCCTAACCCCCCCCCTCCCTCCCCCCGAGCGAAGGCAAGCTTCCTGCTGGCGGCCCACGCCCTGGGGCTCTTCCCTGCTCCGCAGCATCGCTCCACGAACTCAGCGCCTTGCTTCTTTGATCTCTCGAAATCCCTTGCTTTCGGATCCTTTGTGCTCTTGTCATGGCCTCTTCTGGTTGTTCCAGCATTTACTGAAGAACCCCCCCCCCTCCCCCCCAAAAATGGCAGGACAAGAATCCCTCCGTTACCCTTGTAAGGAACACTTTCATTTTGAGCAGCTTTGTGGTGTTTTACTGTAACTTTACATCTTGAGCCTTTTTGGGTTTATTGACTATTGGGTTTCTTAAGAAGGCAGCTAAAATTAAATTTATAGCTACCCTGCTAAGAGCAGCCAAGGGTTCTTAAGCACGCAGCAGTTATTTGGGGGGAGGCGGGGGAGGGGGTGAGGAGGGCATGCAGTCGAAACCCTAAACCCCAAACCCTAAACCCTAAACCCTTGGATTAGGCCCTGGAGTTGTCCACCATGGGGTTGACGAGTTGAGCTCTCTTTAGGTATTTCAGAACTGTGGGCTTCATTCTCACTCCTATAAGATGCTTTTTCTAGAATGCCATGGCGGTTTAGGGGTTTGGGGGCCTTAAAAAGTACGTCTGCACGTGTACCCTGGGGAGTCGCAAGCCGGCTGAGTCTGGGTTTCAAAAAGGGCCTTAAAAAGTGCACGTATACCTGGGGGCTGGCCCTAAACCCTAAACCCTAAACCGGGTCTGATTCCCCCCCTTCTGGTCCTAATAAATAACTCTTTAAGTATCTCTTGTGCTAATAAGATTAAATCTCTCTCCCAACACCCTAGTTTGCTCAATCTGCTCTGCCTCTAGGTTTAGGGTTTTGGGTTTAGGGTTTCAACTCGTCAGTTACATCTGGGGTTGTTGTCACCCTCACAGAATCTGGGATGGAGGCTGCATGCGGCGCATAGCGGTGGCATGTATGTGGAAGCTGCCTGAAGGTTTTTTTTTTTGAACCTGCGGCTGCGATGAAATTTTGTGACGAGCCACAGCAATCAGGGATCAAAGGGTTTAGGGTTTAGGGTTTAGGGTTTAGGGTCTAGGGTTTAGGGTTTTGGCTGCCCTCAAGAAACCCGTAGATCCGCCTAAACCTCATCTACTCGAAGGTCCGGTTTCCCAGCAAAGCCCTAAACCCTAAACGTTAAGTTGTTCACCCATGTCCATGTCCATACCCAGGAGCCGGCAGACAGCGCTTGCGCCAGATCTTCGTGGAGGCTGAGGCCAACAGGGCGAATTTGGTTTCGAGGGCTTTGGGTTCGAGGTAACAAGGATTCTTACCAGGTAGAAATGTGAAAACGAGCTATCTTTGTCTCAGATTGTCTGCTCCGAGGGTGACGAAAGCCGTAATCACAAGCTCTGCAGTCTTTGGGATTCGAGTTTTGAACCGAAGCCTCTAGCATCCCTGGCCTGACAGACCAGTCATGACATATAGTACGTCTCAGATCCTCCGCCCCCCGAAAGCGAACAAGAAACATCAAGGGCAAGTGTATCCCGAGGCCTGGCTCGATGCCTGGCTGTCCGAACTCCATGGCCTCGCGCAAAAAGCCGCTGCCGCTGCTTCGGGAAAAGGTGGGCGACAACCCAAGACCGTTTGCGAGCCAAGCCCATATTCCTCATGGGTTACGTTCCTGAGTGTCGGTAACCCAAATATGGTTTGCAGGTATACGGTGGAAATCAAAGTATAGTAGGTGCAGTTGCTCGTAAACAAAGTTGAGGTCGAGAACAAGTATCGTAGACGCGTCATAAGCACAAGCTAGAGGTGAGCAGAGGGTATGGCTACTAATTATGAAGGAGCATGTGTTTTAGGCTGACAGTTGCATGGAAGGCAGTGGCGGATTGTGGCTTGTGGTCTTGCTGTGGGCATCAAGGGTTCTCAGCCCCTAAACCCTATACCCCTAAACCCTAAACCCTTAAACCCCAAGACTAAGCTGCTAACAACGCTTCGAGATCCGCAGGCGATGAGGCACCCAGCATGGCCGGGCTCTTCGGAGGTGCCTGGATGCTGCTGCATGCAGGGGGGGGGGCATATAGGGCATATGGGCATGTGAGCTTGTTGTCACAAACTCCCTCTCTACTTTCCGTGTAGCGACGCATGCAAGTCACTCTGCCATGAAGCGCCCGAAACGCCCCGACGCTGCTCCAAGGCTCCACGACCACGGCCAGGAGCAAGGCTCAGCAGAGCTTGGACCAGTACATGAAGACTCTGTGATGCAGAGTCTTTAGAGGGTTCAGAGCTTCCTGCCAAGTAACGGCTCAGAAATTAAGCACAGTTTAAACTTTAATCATCAACAGGTGGTTTGGAGTTGTGGCAGCTTGGGTTTCGGGACACGAACCGCCTGAATTCCCTATACCCTGGAGCGAAGCGGGTATGAAAACTCAAGTCCACTGAAAGCAGTTCCTCGCTGAGCATCTTAAGCATCATTGTAAGCCCTGCACCAAGAGCTCCCTGAAGCGCAGCACTCCGCTATGGTTTTTGGGGCCCCAGGGTTCAGCTGACAGGAGAGGAGCCTGAGCTGAAAAAAGGGTTTCGGGTTACCCTTCTGAAGCACTTCCCGCTACAGCCGCTGCAGCCCTTGTTTGACCTAGGGTGCGTCTGGCACTCGTTTTTGTCGGAAGCTAGCTTGTCTCCAGATGTTTTCGCTTAGGTTTTGGCATTTTCGTCGGAAGACGACAACAAATTCTTGTCTTACCCTAGACCCTAAACCCTAAACCCTCTTGGACCCTCCGCACATGGGCCAGGGATTATCGGGATCATTTCGGCGTTCTACACCTAAACCCTAAACCCTAAACCCTAAACCCTAAACCCGTGGAATGCTTGGAGGGTTAGGAGGCGATCCAGCCTAGCAGACAGAGAAGGCCTGCTGGCAAGGGAATGTGGCATACTTTTGGGTTGGGGGCACCACCCTGTGCCTTCTTCAGACTTTTCCCGACATGAAGCAAGCAGTACTCTAGACTTTCGTACTCCCATGCTTGGGGCATCCCTGGCAAAATGCTGAAGGCCGCAACCAGGCTCGGCTTTGCCACGCTGCAGGTGCTTGAGGCCTCCTTTGAAAAGAGCCACCCCACCTCGCTCCAGAGGAACGCCCAGGCGCCCCTTGCTCGTTGAGCTGGGAGGACGGATTCCCTTGGCACCCTTCCAGCCCTTCGCTCTACGATCCACACCGCGGCCAACAGTTTTTGGACTGCCCAGCGCGCATGCAATGCCTGGCTTAAGACACTGTATGCTAACCCCTCAGCCAGTAGGGCTGCATGGACCAAGCCGGAACCTTTGATGTCGTGGCTTCCTGGCTTGGCCTTCTTTTCTTGCGTTTTCATGTGAACTTCTTGAATCTCCCAATCCTCAATTTCGGTTCGGCTAAGGACTTCCTGCAACATCCACGCCCACATCCTGTTGCTCCTGCGCAACGTGCCCCGGAAACAAGCAAAAGCCTGGAGAACGCAGGGTTTGTTCGGGTTCGCGGCTATTCCGTGGTTGTGTATTTCGGGCTGCCTGCCTTTTTTTGAAGCAATCGGATGGCCAGGTCCATTAGGTCCATTGCCATGCATAATCTTTTGAGCACGTCTAAATGTCCTAGCACAACCGGGAATGCAGCTGTTGAATGTGCGAACATGTGTGAAGACTTTTCTAGACAGGCACCCGGCAACTGGTGAGATCGGTCATGCACTGGTCAACGGGTCAGTTTCCAGGCCGAGGTTTAAAGCAAAGACGCGCGAATCACAACTTAAGATTCGGTTTCGTGCTCAAGGTTAAGTGGGCGTTTTTTTTTTTTTCTCGAAAATATGGGACTCCTAAAATAGGCCCAAAATACGGGATTCCTTTATAAAGAAGGACCCCAATAAGGTACCCCAATATCGGAAACCACCAAGTGGCTATGCCCTTGCTTGCCTGCTTTCATGTAAGCAATGGTAAGGCCAGGTCCATTAGAGGCTTTAGGGTTTAGGGTTTGGGGTTTAGGGTTTAAGGGTTTGGGGTTTAAGGTTCAGGTCCATGGCCATGCAGAGGTCAAGAGGCTGTGCCCTTGCTACCCTTTCAGCTCAGAGGTGCCCGAAGACGAGCTGGATGAGCGCAGCGTGGGCAGGATTCTCTCCTCCTTCACGTTTCTGTCGCTTCACCACACCTTCAACCAGGACTTCTTGGGCCCTAATCCCTAAACCCTAAACCCTAAACCCTAAACCCTAAACCCTAAACCCTAAACCCTAAACCCTAAACCCTAAACCCTAAACCCTAAACCCTAAACCCTCACCCTGCGGCTTCAGGGTGACAGGAGATGATTGGAGTTGGCAGCATAGGGTCTCAGCACTTGGAGTGGCCATTCTTACCGTATTTGAGTTTTTGCGCAGGCCGAAATGCCGAACATTACAGTATTTTTGGTTTCAACACGATGAACAAAAGTCGTAAACCAAAACCGGTACTGCGCAGTGCTCGGCTTTGCCAAGAGAAGCTGCAAACCTTTTAATCCATAGGACTTCTTGGACATTCCCGAGACGGAGCTTTTCGAAGTGTTCCAGCACCACAGGCGACACCAATTACGTCCCGAACAAGCCACCCCCAATCCTCAAACGAGGTTCAGGATGCTTGCAGCTGAGGTTCTAAGTTTATGGGGCTTATGGGACTTGCGGGGCTTGTGGGGTTTAGGGTTTAGGGTTTAGGGTTTAGGGTTTAGGGTTTAGGGTTTAGGGTTTAGGGTTTAGAGGGCTTGTGTGGTTCTGCAGTGCAGCTTCAACACTTCGAACATTTTAGTTCGCCTTGGGAGTCGTGCCTGAGCACTTGGTCTTGCTATCCAAACCCGTTCGCCTTGATCCTTGAAACCGGGGCCCCGACATCAAAGAAGTACACCCAGATGTCATGCACGAAGTTGCAAGCAAAAGTGTGCCCCAAACCTCCTCTCCCTCCTGAAGAGAGGACGCCGCAAGCTACACAACTGTGATGATGATTCTTATACTATTCTTATGTTGACTCTTCTGATTTATTTATGATGATTATTCTTATGATTCGTATTTTTATGGTCATAATTATGACGATTACTATTAATATTATGCTACTTCCTAAAACTCCTGCACAAGAAGCGAAAACACTGAGAGCAGCGGAAGGCGCGGTTTGGTGCGATGGTTCGAGAAGCAGCGCAAGGGCAGCTCTGCTGGCGCTGGAAGACGGGGGACCTGACCCAGAATGTTTAGGACTTTAGAGCTCCTAAACCCAGAACCCCAACAAGGGTTTAGGGTTTAGGGTTTAGGGTAGACGGGAGACGTCATGCCCAGAATATTTAGGAGTTTAGAGCTCCTAAACCCAAAGCCCCAACAAAGGATTCGGACACCGAGCCCCGTAGGGTTGCAGGTGTTCAGGAAGTGGGGGTCTTGGCGAAAAGAAAGTCTTTACTTTGTGGTACTTTACTGTAACTTTAGATCCTTACCTTTGGTTTATTGGGTTTCTTATTCAGGCAGCTAAAAGTTTAATTTATAGCTACCCTCCTGAGTGCAGCCAAGTTTAGAGGGCTTCAGGCAGGCCTCAGCCTGAGCTCTGAGATGTCTGGTTTGTATTCAGCTGAGGCAAGGAGTATGGCCGCTTCAATCGTGTCCTGCAGGAGGTTCACCAACAGCTGCTCGGCTTGTTGTGTTGTACTTGTGTACTTGTGTGTATGTGTGTGCATATATATATATATATGTGTGTGTGTGTGTGTGTGAGCGCATAGAAGGTCGGGTCTGCGATGGTGGTGTCAGGCCGACCACCTTGCCCAGCCTTACCTGAGGAGTAGGCATCTCAAGTCATGACCCCAAGAGTACTTCCCAGCACTCAGCAGCACTCAGGTTCTCGACCATCGACTCCTCAAGTGCGGTGGATACCTCCCACTTCGAATGGGGCTGCGTGAAGGGAGATTCCCAAAATGCCGGGCGGTATGAGACTCGGATGCTACCAAGCCAGAGAATAGAATGCAGAGTCCCTGTCGCACGGATATCTCGAGCTTAAGCCCACAGATTGCGCGACAGAAGCCGCTGCGCCGTCATGCCGACTGTCAGCTTCACAAGTCCTCGCGTGTCTCTTGCCATGGAGATGTTGGAGAGCGAGAACCAACCCTAAGCCCTAAACCCTAAACCCTAAACCCTAAACCCTAAACCCTGGAGAGCAAATTAAGCAACTCAGGCGATCGTCGGCCCGCGGCGGTCCTCTGCAGACCGGGGCGATGTGGCCACCACGGAGAGCTGCTGGACTGGAGACTGGAGTTCAGGTTCAGAGCATTGGAAATGACTTCTTTAGTTCAGCAGGGCAACCTTATCGAGCTGACCATATGAATCATATGAAGTTGATCAGCATCCGAAATGCTGTGCTTGTCAGAATTATTTACCCAAAGCCCAATAACCCTTAATCAAGGAGTATACCTTAAATCATAGTAAGGATCCCTGTATAAATTAAGGAATATTCCTTAAGGGGTATTGGGCTTTTTGGGTAGGTCTAAGCCGCAGGACGCTCGAGCTTGTTCGTTTGCCCCGACGCTCTCTCAGGCAACGATAACGCGTGGATCGAGCTGAACATCCAGCTCCTGCAGGCCTAGATCCCCCTTGGGAATTATTTTTTGTTCTTGTTTATATAAAACCCAAGAGGATATTAAACATACTATTTTTATTAAGGTTCTAAGGGGAGTATAGAGGCTTGTTTTCTTTGAGGGGCCACGGTGAACTTTGCTTCACCCCGGCTGTAAGAGATTCAAAAGCCACGGTTTATGTCTCTCATGACGTGTGCAAGACGCCGTGGGTCAGATGGACGGACGGTCAGACGGGCGGACGCTCGGTCAGACGGTCAGACAGGAGATGCAGGGGCTGCGCTTCAAAGAATGTTGCACCATCAATAGACTTCAATAGACTTTCCGTCACGACCCTCATGAGCTCTTCCAGGATGGGCTATTAGGCCCTATAACCCCATAAACTTTGCCATAAACAGCCCTATAAAGGCCCTTTTTTAAGGGTTATAGGGTCTAATAGCCCGTCCTGGTTTTCCAAACCTGTCCATTTCAGCGAGCCTTCTGTTGCAAATGGGGGGGCCTGCTGCGCCCTGCTCTTGTAAGCCTGAAGGATGGAGACCCGAAGGCCGAAGACAGAAACTTAAACAACACATTTGTTCAAACCCAAAGGCCTCCAGGCTGAGCACGATCTCCCCAATAGCCCTCCTATCACAGCTCGAACAGATTTCAGGGTTTAGGGTTTAAGGTTATCTTTTCAAAATCCTGAACCCCTCTTCCTCCAGGTGACGGTCCGCGGGCGCCACGTGACTCCTTTGGAGTCAGACACCTGCGATGATGCCGACTTCAAGGAGGCTTCTGGGGGGCTTGTATAGGCTTCTATAGAGGTTTCTGGAGTTCGGGGCAGGCTCTGGCCATGCCAGCCTGGGCTTGTGCAAACTGTAGGGGCAGTAAAGGTCAAGGCAGCACATGGAAGTGGCTTTGAATAACTTCCTTCGAAGTCTACGTTTTGGGTCCTCACAATCCTCGAATATCACAAAGACGTATAAACCCTAACACGCAGAGCCTCAACACCCTGGAAAGGTGTTGAACCAGGGAGCTGGGCGGCAGGCCTGGCACCGCACCTGGGAGTGTTGGAATGGGCTTCGGCGGGCTCGGGGTATGACTGGGGTAGGGGGGTAGAGGGGGGGGGGGTGTATTGCGGGCAGTTAGCCGTTAGCCCCACGCTGTTTACAAGCCTCTGATGCCAAAAGATGCGGGCTCAGGAATTAGTGTCTTCGTGTCAGATAGCAGAAAATAGCTCATGGCCTGGGATGAGAAAAAAAGGGTGAACTACCTAGTAACCTGCTGGATTTTTCCATCTATGGAGACCCAGTTGGGAAGTTCATGCCCATGTTTCCCGCAGCAAAAAATTCCATGAAAACATGCCAACCCACACCCTGAGACGGTCTCGAGTCTGAGGTGCCTTATCTCCCCATGAGACACTGTAGTGGGTGATCATAAAGCAATGCACCCGAGAGTTGGAGGCTGAGACGGTGCAGTGCGCGGCACTTCTGAGCACGAACCTCGTGCGCGTTCGCGAACTGCTGCCCGGGCCTTGGGACACAAGAGCACCGAGGTTGCTGACAGCGGTTGCAGGGTCTCGGCCACGGGCCTGCTGACAGACCAGAGAGAGAGAGAGAGAGAGTCCCCTGCGACCATCCCTTTCCATTTCACCTTCTGCCAACAAGATGGGCAGCACAGACCTGGGACATCGCGCGCCCCTGGGGGCGGCCTTCTCCTTCGGGAGGGGGCCACGCGTGCGGGAGAGAGAGAGAGAGAGATAGGCGTGCAGCAGAAGATGAAGAAGAAGAAGAAGAAGAAGAAGAAGAAGAAGAAGAAGAAGAGGGACAGAGAGTATCCGCATCCAAACGCCGTACGGGGGATATCCGTGTTCGCCGCATCTTCCATGCTGTCCTTTTCCTGTCTAAGTTGCGTGAACCGAGAACGAGGGCTCACGGCTGGCGGGGAGTTACCCCCATCTCTCATGCCTGCAGAAGACGTACAAGAGAGTTAGTAGCTTCTTGGATGTCAACCCCAAACCTGCTGGAAGAAGAAGAAGAAGGGGAGGCGAGTCTACACTCGCGGGCATGATTCTTCCAGGACACTTTCGTCACACCGTTGTTGTTGCTGTTGCTCTTGCTGTTGCTGCTGGTGCTGGTGCTAGTGCAGGTGTTGTTGTCGTTGTTTAGTTTGGTGTTGTTGTGTTGAGCGTTTTGTATTGTCTTGGCTAGTATTGCATTGTTTTGTTGGTATGTTCTTGTGTTGTCTCTTTGTTGTTTGTTGATTTGGTGGCGTCTTGACTTGGGGTCTTGTTGTTTGCTGCTTGTTTTTGAGCTCGTGGCACACTACCGCAATCGCTCCGGAATTGTTCCTCGCCAAGTCTGCCGTTTCAAGGAGGTGCGGGCACTGTAGCCGACCACTCTTTTCTCACCTTTGCCAGTGGCACAGAAGCTCGGGGGCTGGGCTTATCCTACCCTGAACCCTAAACCCTAAACCCTAAACCCTAAACCCTAAACCCTAAAAGGGGCGAAGGGGGTCACCTCGGAGCCTAAAGTTTGCTGACAGGAAGGAGAGAAGAGGGAGAGAGGCAGTGAGCCAGGGAGAGGACGAGGGACGGGGAGAGGGTTTAGGGTTTGGGGTTTTGGGGTTAGGGTTTAGGGTTTAAGGTTTAAGGTTTAGGGTTTGGCGAACAGGGAGGGAGGAAAACGAGGAAGTAGGACAAAGCAGTTGCCTTTACTTTCACAATCCCCCTCTGTCGCTTTGCTTGCCTCGGTCAAACCTAAACCCTAAACCCTAAACCCTAAACCCTAAACCCTAAACCCTAAACTCCCCTTCCCCCAAACATACGACAAAGACCGATCAAGACTGGCAGAGGTCACAGCCATACCGTGTCACACGCTGGGAAGGCCAGTGGTTTCATGCACCCTAAACCCTAAACCCTAAACCCTAAACCCTAAACCCTAAACCCTGGGATATTTGACCTCGACTTGGAGTCTTTGGCTGATACGTGCTACGAGCCTTACATCCGAGAGACCCTGGAGGCCAGAATCTCGTACAAAAAAAAATCCGCTCGGAGTGAAGGCTGTCTGAGCTGCCAACAAAAGCCCGAAAACCAAGATCCGTGGGCGAAGATGGGTGCTGGTCCTCTTGTCAGAAGAGTGCAAAACTTAGACCCAGCAACCGCAAACTTTGAACCCTACAAGGTCGCGCGGACATAGTTTGCCGGGTTGTTTAGTTGTTTACACGCGGAAGTGCTGCTATTTGCGATTGTGCAGCTTTGGGTTGCCTTAGTGACGTGCAAAAATGGTGCGTTTGGAGGCATGAGGTGAACGAGGTGTCGGAAATACTGCACGGTACAAGGTTTCTATACTAGCAGGGTGTGAGGAAAGAAGCTGCAGAATCCTTTCTTGGCTAAAACACTGTTTAAGCACGTCTTGTTCCGCATCTTTGCGCAGTATGTTGTGCAGAGGTAAATACACCCAACCGGCGGACCCCCCCCCCCTACCCCTCCACCCCGATCTCAAAGCCAGAAGCCGAAAACAAACAGGCAAACTATGCACGCACCTACAAATCCAAAGGCCGAGAGGTTTTCAGACGTACTCAGCCTGTGGCGGTTGAAGTTAGACTTCACGTTGGTAAGGGCCTCAAGGCCCTAAGGTCGGGATGCTAACCCACTATAGTGGTTGGGCTTCCGGCAGGTTTCAAACAGCGGCAGCGCAACAGACCCTTTCCCCTGAGCCTTTTGTTGCCTTTTGCTAGGCTTGAGCGCTGTAGTCCTGCCCTTCGCCGGTGACTACGTGCGCCTCTATGACATGGAGGCAGCAGCCTGTCAAAGCAGCTGTTGTCTTACCAAGGTTACACATGCCTTGTAATGAAATTATGAACATTATAATGAACCCTAAACCCTCAACCCTAATCCCCAAACCCTAAACCCTAAACGAAGCTACGGGACACAGGGTGACCGGCCTCTTGATGTGGTCCTAAACTCATAACATGGCAATCAGGCCGGGCTCTAGGATCGAACGTCCTCAGCCCTGAAACCCTAGAAGGTTTCTTTCCTTAAGCCCTAAAGCCTAAAGCCTAAACCCTAAACCCTAAACCCTAAACCCCTGCAAGCCGTTGAAGCTGAGCAGGACTTCGAGGAGCATGAGGCCTGGGTGCCGCAACTCTTCGAGCCCGTGAGGCCCGTAAATCTGGCCGGCTTCGCGTTCATGATCTGAAGTCTTCGTGGTGTGGGGTTTAGGGATTAGGGATTAGGGTTTAGGGTTTAGGGCGTTGGCTTAGGTCCTTCCGAGCCCTAAAATAGGCTGCGAGCGCGACATTGTTGGCAATGACTTTTGGAAGACTTGCGGGTTTAGGCCGTCCCGCTGTCC